TTTTCTATTTTTTTGTTTTAATTAAGGTATTTCTGTTGCAGAAGTTTCAGTAAAAGGAAAGAAATGAGCTGTTGTTTTTCGGAAGGTTTGGCTCTTTTGTGAGTTAAAGCTGAGTTGTACATTTAGGTTCACTTACCCTAGTAAGAAACTGTTTTTATTTGTAGAGAAAACCAGAAAGCCCAGCTTTGAAAGCCTCTTTTGGTTGGCCTTCTTGCCCTTTTGCTGCACACAGTAGCTGTGAAGAGACAGGCCAAACACTCGGCCCAGACCTAGCCTTTTGTTTGCCTTTGAAATGACGCTTGGGAATGTGCTTTTCCCCAATAGCCTCTCACATTGTTCCACGCACTTTCCGAATTCTTTAAAATCCTTTAATTTTAAAGAATTATTCCGGGCAGAACTCATCTTGTTCTATTCCCTGAAGAGCCATAGTAAATATTATTAATACTTCGATACTGGGCGATCCAAAGGTTTTGTATTTCCTTGTGAAAAAATCATATGGTGTTTTAGTTCTGTTAGCCACAAGACGATACTGTGAAACATTTCAGCTTCGCGTAAGTTCACTGACCCTTTACACCAAAGTCAGCTGAAGAACAAAAAGCTACAAAAGTCACTGTGGGGGTGTAGAGAAAGACCTCTGCGGAACTTATTCATTCTGCGGTTACATGAAGTTGTCTTTTCGAGCAAAACAACAAGCAGAAGCTTATAGCGACACAGCTGGAGTTCCATTTCTTATTTCTTTATGGCATGACCGCTAAATGGGCCATCTTTGTGGCTTAAAAGCAGCCATCATTCCGGTTACTTAAAGACCACGTTTCTGTCAGCTATGGTTACACGTTCAGTGATCTCCCACAGAGACTCAGAAACATCCCGGTCTGGAATCGTGCACAAAAACTGGCCCCATCGGAGAAAAACAAGCAAGTCTGACATTGACAGCAAAAGAGGTTTTCAGAAACAGGAAAATGGGGGGAAACATCCATGAATATATATTTAATGTACGAGGTGTCTGAAGCATTTTTACACAGAAATGGGTCAGTGCGTCTGGAAGTTTTAGCTAGCAGTATCTGTGAAAAGACTCTAGAATCTGCATTTGTTTACCGTTCCCAGTTGGGGTCGGTATATTATATGCTGCGTTTTTAGGCATGTATTCCAGACAGTACACCCACCCTAAATTGTTTGTTGAGAACTCAATCAGACTGAACACTTTGGGTTATATCCCAGGTCTTTTGTTACAAAGCTGGAATGAAATCTGAATAAAGCAAGCGATGAATTTTTTATGCAGAGGAAAACCTTGCAGGTGCACGATGGTGCACATGGCTGCCTGTAAGTACTTCCTGCTCAGTACAAATGGGACCAAAGACATATATTTGGAAGACAAGCTTGTATTCTGAACTGTTGGGGTAGTGACATCGAGTAAGATGCAGTTCCTAGCATTGCATTGGGTCCCAACTCTATGGTAGGATGACAATTTGGTAGTGAATCCAAGAAAAGCAAATGTGCTACTTTAACTCATTGCCTGCCAGCCATTTTCAGAACAGAGTCCCATACTGCCAGAGTTTTTTGAGCATTTTGACTGATTTTTCAAGAGCCACAGAATAGTTTGTGCTATGACTATGTAAACACCGAACACACCAACAGAAAGAGTAGACACTCTTCTTTCATCAGGAAAAAACATTGTTACTGCCTTATTCCGTTCTTCCTCGACTTGCGTCTCACCGGCGACATGTTCTCTCATAGCGAGCCGTTACCTTTTTGTTATTTGCCAACAGTCTATGCTCATCTCCCATCAAAAGTGGCACTGCCACCTAGAGGGTCAATTTGTTAGTACATACTCTGTCTAGAAGCCTGATATCTACGGACAAGCTTTAGCAGATCGTCCCCCAGCCACTCTGGTTGAAAAACATAAAAGACGTCTATAGACGTCTTTGGCAGCCAATGAGTTAAAAAAAATGAGCATATTGAACAGATTTAGAGAAATGAAATCTTGGAAATTTGTGTAGTTGGTTTAGTTTAGGGTCACAGAGATGCAGGTAACAGTGACTTTGGATGTGACTTTGGCTTCTCAAATGGAAACTACCATAAAAGTAAGCCTCCGCTTTCTCCATCCTCCCATGTTTCCAGCTCAGATGGTGTTTGGGGGGGTGGGGGGACTGGGACGAAAAGGCCAGGGGGAAATGAAGGAAAGCGAAGGAAGCTGAAGGTTTACACAGGCTGCTGAGGAGATGCGCCTCGGTGGGAGGAACAAACGAGCTGAGGTGGGGGTGGGGGGGTTTACCTAACACAAAAAAGGCACCTACAGCAATTAGGCAAGCTGACAGACAAAGTGTGGCGCGGCGCTAATGTGGGCCGACGGCCGGGAGATTTGAATAACAAGGCTTGCGGGAGAGTAAGACGCAATGAGCTGGATGGCGTGGAGGTTGGGGGGGGGGATGGAGCTTGAAGCAAAAGATGTGGCATTCATGAAGCAGGTGCCTGGCAGTCCTACCCCTCTATTTGAACTAATCAGTGAGAGATTACCTGCTATTTTCCCAGAGCCAAGCTTATGACTTATTTGATGCAACTAGGGGCCAGAAACGTGTTTCCCAGAAATAAAACGGCTAAAATGTGTTGTTTCCTCATGGCGTTCTGGGTTGGACCCGCTGAGACTGCATCCTTGGTGATAGTCTGATGGGAAACCACGAGGGCTTTGTGGGTGTTTGCTTTGGTGATTGACTCTGGGTACGCGGTGTAATTAGTGGCCTGACTAATGGGTCGAGCTACACGCAGGGTGGCGGTAACAAATCATCCTCCCACCTAAAAGAGAGAAGTAGCAGTTTGATTAAAAAACAACAACAAAAACCAACACATAGCTTTGACGATATTGGTTACAGGGCTTTAGGGGTCGATCGTTGAATTTGGCCAAAGCCAATACGTACCAAAGTAACTGTTGGGTTCCGATGACATTTTGTTTACATTTGTGGTTCCTCTACCATGGATCCACCTCGGCTGCTGTTCTCCAGACTCACTTCCATGAGTTTTACGGCAGTTGTTTTGAGTGAAATGTCGTGGACTATGGCATTAATTAGCCATTTTGCGCTGGCGAGTCGGGCTGTGCGACTTTAGGGTCGTTGCAGCCACACCAACCTTTCTGAATTCTTTAACTCTGCAATGGTAACATCCAATCACAACACTACTCAGGTTAAATGAAAAATATGGCTTATGAATTATCCCAAGGTTATTTCTACTCAACGTCTAGTCTAGTCTCATTGTGGAGCCCCGTTGTATTTGTATTATTTGTATAGCACATTTTGTGTACAAGACAATTCAAAGTGCTTCACAAAGATTTTAAAAGCAGAAAAACAAGAAAAGTCAAATAAAAATTAGATGGATAAAAAGTGAAGGGTGCAGATAAAATACATTCTTTTTTCTTTTTTTTTCCAAACAAATGTATTGTATTAAGATAAAATACATTCAATTTCCATATGCACAGTTAAACAGAACCGTTTTCAGTCTGGATTTAAACACTGTCAGAGTTGAGGCCTGTCTCACGTCTTCAGGAAGGAACTGAAATGAAGCTTCACCTTGTTTAGTTCTGACTCTAGGCACCAGCAGGAGACCAGAACCTGAGGTTCTTAAAGTCAGATTTCGTTTCTATGGCTCTAACATGTCAGAAAGGTATTCCGGTGCTTGCCCATGAAGAGACTTGTACAGAAGCAGAGCTGTTTAAAGTCTATTTTCTGAGTGACAGGAAGCCAGTGCAGAGACCTTAGCACTGGACTGATGAGGTCGTATTTCCTCGTTCTGGTCAGAACTCTAGCAGCAGCATTCTGGATGTTTTACAGCTGGTTTAGAGCCCAATCAGCAGGTGATTACAGTAGTACAACCTGCTATAGACGAACGCATGGATTACTCTTGGTAGTTCTTATTTAGACACTATTCTTGCATGTGTGCAGCACTCCCAGGTCCTAAACTAATAGAAATTTTGTCCCCAGGTTGCTATAGTTTATGGAGATTCCGATCAAAATGATTCCTCAACTGTTTCGCCTTTGATGGAAAACTTCAATCCCCTGTTTTAGCGCTGCACCATTGGTGCATTTCCATTTGTGCCAACTCAGCATGGCTCTACATGGTATTTTTGCATTTCCACTAGGGACTGGCGCCATAAAACAGTTAGAGCTCTAACACCTACTCGGTCAGTAGGGCCAACTGTAGACTGCTGAGCGCTGAGTGGCCAGCAAATCAAACGTTTGATTGACTCACGTCTGCGATCGTAAACACTGTAGATGCCTGATACCCGACCCCACGCCGCTTTCCAAAACCGAAGTCTTACCGATTAACAGTTGCTGAGATATCTCTGGTTGCTGCCACGTGTTTGTGTTGCGTATGAATGACATCACACTCCGGTCAACGCGCTTCTCAGCTCGGTCGTGAGTTGCGGCGGAAATCCACCTGAACGGCGAAGAACCGTGCCGTACCGAACCGTTCCGGGCTGAGCTGAGTGGGCAGCGACGGGAAAACGCCACAATGGGGCTTTTCCGCTAGAACCCAGTCAGCCCTGCATGGCTCTACAGCGTATTTCTCCTCCTTCCCTGTAGTCTTGTGCTTGTTTAGCTCATAAATGACATCAGGTGCCGGCTAGGGTTCCGTTCGGCCCTAATTCGTAACAGAAAACCACCTAAACCGAGTCATGCCAAGGCCTATTGGGCCATAAGGGGATGAGTGGGTACTAATTGACTGAAGCTGGACAATACTGGGTAAATGGTGACTGGGCAGTATTTTATTTCTCTTATATGATCAGAGTTGGGGGTGAGAGGTGAAAACAAAGTCCGGAAATTGTCACCGAATTACTTGAATGATATTATTTGGACTGAACCAGTCATTTTTAATAGAAAAGAGCTATTATTATTATCGGTCTGTGTCTTGCTTGTCTCGAACGTGGATATTAGTGCAAAACAAGATCAGTTTGTTCTGCTTTTGTGTTAAGAATGTATTCACCTTGCCATGCCACTGTTTCACACACAAACATGCCCACATATGTCCAGCCGGTCACTGTGGTTTCCAGCTGTTGTCTGAAAGTACTACTGCAAGTTAGCTTAAAACAATACAGGCAAATGACCGATAATTTTTAGTTAGATAACTGTAGTTTGAACTCTTGATGTCAGTTCAGTTCAGATTTTATTGCAGGAGCTTAATTAATTTTTTCTTTTCTTTTACTGTACATCTCTTCAGAATCGCTTCTCGTCTGTCTGAAGCTCTTTTGTTTTCCCATCCATTCTCACCACTTGTTGTCTACCAAACTATATGAGACAGGTATTGTGTGTTCTCTATTGATGAAGACAGTTGAGGGCAGAAAAGTTTCAAACTTTTAGAATGCAAGTGTGAAGGGATTATTGGGAAAATACAGAAAGCATCATGTGATGTCAGGGTGCTATTTGAAGAAATAAGCGTAGTAGAAGAGGTTAAAACCACATTGTAGCCTTGACATAACTCTTTCGAGTTGATATAAAAACAGACAGAAAAGACAATCTTTTAATGATTTAATATTTTGAAGATGCTGAATCAGACAATGTATCGTTCACAAGACATTGTGTAGCTATTTTCTGTAGAAAAGCTAGATTTACTATTTGCTTCAAAAAGTACATTTTGCTTTTAGAGAAACAATGTTTCTTCATGTGATGCCTTCCCACCTTGATTTTTTTTCCTTTTTGTATGCAAGTGGGTGCATGTGTTACTTAAAAAAAAAAAAGGAAAAAAAGAACAACTATTTAAGTCAACCTATTTCAGAGTAGTCTAAGCTGTTTGGAAGAAAGTGTATGAAAGGTATTTGAATCTCTATTCAGTTTGTCAATTGGCCGTTCTGGGGCTGAATTAAGAAGAGATTTGGCCACAGTTTCTTGTCCTTTTTCACACATAACCTTTTTTCCTGATTTGACCTTTTAAAAAGAAAAAAACTTGTATAATGCATATTTCCTTGGGCTTATTTTAGAGGTGTTGACAGGTTTTTAGGAGTTTAGGAAAGACTGCTATGAAGAATGAAGATTCCAATTTAAACAAAACTGTCGTGATTGCAAAAATTTGCAGGCAATCACCAAAACACGATCTCACAAAAAGGAATATTATATTTGTATAACGAGATGAAATGTAAAATCTTCATTAATCCAGGTTAGCATTCAAAAAAGGAAAAGAAAAGGCCCCAAATGTGAAAGATGCTGTTCTAGCCTGTTTACATGTATGCCATATATCAACCATCTTTGCTCCTATAGCTGGTTTTGTGAAGCATTTAGTGTACAAAGTGCTTTACAGAGAGTTTTAAAGCAGAAAAAAGAAAGAAATGGATTCAACAAAATCAATTAAATAGATAAGAATAGAAAAGTGAAAGGTGCAGGTCAAATACTTTCAGTTTCCACAGTTTTGCTCAGTTAAATGGAACCGTTTTCAGCCTGGATTTAAACATTGTCAGAGTTGTGGCTTGTCTCACTTCCACTGGAAGATGGTTCCAGATTTTAGAAGCATGAAACTGAAAAGAAGCGACCCCTTTCTTGGATATGACTCTGGGCCCCACTAGGATATCAGAACCCCTCAGAGTCGAGCTTTAAATGTATGGAAGATACTCCAGTATCTCTTTCAAATGCTCCAGCTGTAATGAAATGTGAGAAAAGAAACTACGTGCTGTAATACAGTGATAATTAAAGTACTGTGCATGTTTGGGGAAGAAAGCTGCATCGTGCATGTTCGCTTTTCCCGTTTGCCGTCGGCCCATGTGGGTGTTTTTATTCTTAATCTGATCGCCAACTGTGTGCATGTGCACATGTTTTTGTGAGGGCTTTGGTGTAGAGCAAGGATGTGAGGTCATGGTGGTTTTCTGCTCGTGGTGCAATTAGAGGTTTCTGAAATGAAAACGGGGATCATTTAAGGCCCGGAATGCCTCTCTGCTAACGGGCCCTTCATGTCAGAATGTTGTGTTAGCGCGTGGCCATTTTTGGGGTTTTCGCCATCCCGTTTCCTCCGGGGATTACAAATCTGAACTTGGCTTCGAGGCTGGGCATTTTTCTGGTTATATTAAGATCGGCGTTGTGAAATATTACACGATCGCATCTAAATCAAGCAGGTGGAGCTTGTGCAGTGGACGGATTGGGCTCAGATTTGTGAAATCGTTGCACAAGCAATAGTGACCCCGTAGAAACAAACGAGTAGATTAGCGTGATTCATCCTGGGAGACTTCGGATTCCAAGATCTGCTTAAATCTGGGAATTGTGCCTCCCATCATCAACACATAAGAGACAGATTTCGGTGATATTTGTATAAAAAATTAAGATAAATAAAAAGCTGAGTGTTGCATCACAGCAACAAGTTGGATCCAGAAGAAACATGTCAGCTCTATGAGCATTTTCTTTGCCTCAATTCAAATGCGAGGATATAAAAAAAGGTGATGTTTCAATTCTAGTGCCATCAGCTTTATGCTTTATTTAAAAATGACCGGGTTTAACTGGGTCTTGGTTTCCATCTTGGCTGATACGTCATTTGCAGATAAATAAATGCACATTTAAGCTTCTTTTTTTATGCTTTTGCACTCATATACCAGATATTAATGGAGCTTTTGACCATTGTAAAGAGGGGACAGTATATTTAGGCTATGTCAGCACTTCAAAATTAAAATGGTCAAAATTAGGAAGGAGATCTAAGGATCTTACAGCGTGTAACAGGAAGGGTTTCCTTCATGTCACAGCAATTCTACGGTACCACAGGACTCACAGCTTCACAGATCTGTGAGCTGCGGGAAGACCTAACCTGAAACCGTGTTACGGCAAATTTCCGTCTATGTAAGCTTTGTTCAAGGACAGACAGCATGTCTCTTGTTTGCTCCGGAGCCGGGAGGGAGGGAATAACCGGCTGTGGGATTATCAGGTGAGGCTCCGCGCTCAGATCCATTGCCCGGGGGTCACCAGGTCAGACTTAATGGCATGACCTCTCGCTTGAAAGCCTGCTCAGCTGTTGGCCAGATCAGCGGGAAAAGACGGACTAGTAACGGCCAGTAACTCGCCCCACCCGTCCAGGTGGGCCGAGAATACCATGAACGACCATAAGCAGAACTTTGGAGCTGTGCAAAGGTTCCTAAGTTATTAGGACAGCATAGAAAAGGCAGTTTCCCTACATGTGAAAATTTGTTCAATTCTTCCATCAAACATTATTGTAAAAAATATATTCTTCTTTCTTCTGTGTCTTCTGGAGGTGTAGCTTTAAAAAAAAAAAGGAGGGGACAAAAAAAGCTACAAAAAAGGATAGTCTCCCATTTCTTTCTCCATTCACTCTCCTATAAAATGGTCCTGGCTCTGTTTTTACCCCTAGTGAGGAGTAATTGATGTGTGTGTTGTGTGAGAGTGTGTTTAATCATCTGTATTGTGTAGAAAAAGGGGTTTGTGTATGTGTGCACAATACTGAAAAACATTTGTGTGTATCAATGGGGGATGCGCGTGTTTAATGATGGGTTTAAGTTAGGGAAGTGTGTGTGTGTGTGTGTGTGTGTGTGTGTGTGTAGCTGCTTACTCGTAGAGGGGAATCTGGCAGACAGATTGAGAACAACTCGTAAGAAAGAAATGGGAACAATGAGACCACTGCCATGTCTTTTGTCCTTTTTTCTTTTCATTTTCTGTTTTTCTCATCTCTCCTCCTCCATTTAAAAAAAATATATATCTAAAAGTTGTTTAGTCCATCTCATCTTTTTCTCCCCCCGATAATCTTTGTGAGCACAGCCTGTATAAGTATTCCCTATCTTTCCTCAGTATTTTGATTTCTTTCCTTATATAATCTTTCACCCGCTGGCACATCTCTGACTTTTTTAAGTACATTTCTCCTTATCGTGATTTGCATCATGTTGGGTTTAAATGTGTTCGAACCTTATGCACACACCCAGAAATGCAAAAGGTTTGACTTCATCAAAGGCTTGAAATGGAGAGTTTATCATGAAAAAATAACCAAGCAAGCGGCTTTGGTCTGCTAGCTGGAGTAGAAAAACTTCACATTTTACAACAAAAATTCCCTCTTTAGCCTGATAAAGTGTTTCAGAGCTACATAATGAGCAGTTATAATGTTTGTAAGAATGAAATGAGTTGCAGGCTTCTACTCACCGGGATAAAAAACATTGCCGGGTGGCAAAGTTTGAATGGGTGGGTTTAGTTAGAGACCTGTATTTGCTGAATTTAAGGAAAGAGCCAGGGCTGGTGGTGTATTTGGAGTGTCCACACCAAATACAGCTCTCAGACATTGTTTTTCCCCAACTGGTACACTAAAGAAATAAACAGTGCTACTTTTAAATCATTCAGTGTCGCATGCTGATCCACACGAGTGCTGATGGAGAGAAAAAAAGTTAGAAATATCACCTACTGTTCTGAAAAAAAATCAATCAATTGATCAATCAGTCAAACTAAAACTGTTTTGTTGAAAATATAATCTTCCCTTTTCTCATCAACTGTCTCTGATATGGTAATTTTCTCTTTTTGAATAATATTTTTATTACCTTTTCTGACATGAACATAGACAAATAGGCAACAAAACAAAAAGGAATCCTCTAATAATTTGTCATGCAATATAAACAGTAACATATACTCAGGAAAAAAACAATCCCTGAAATAATAAACTAAGAAAATGAAAAAATTAATAAGAAGTCAATTCGGGGTCCAAAAAACATCTGTTTAGCAAGTTTTCGGCATGACCATCTATCATCCCGTTTAATATATTGCTTGTGAGTCTTTTACCTGCATATTTAAGGAAAGGGGTCCAGATCCTACAAAAACCATCCATCTCACACTTGAATCTGTATGTTAGGCATTCGGTTGGTAGCAAATCAAACATCACTTTATGCCAACCCCTAATTGTAGGTGGAGTATTTTATGATAAATCACATTTCCATTCAAAACTGGCCAGTGTGGTCCAGTTTGGAAAATAAAAAGGGGGACAAAAAAAGGCCTCCAAATAATATAATGTCCCTGTCTTGGTTGTATGAGCTTGTAAGGCTCATACAACGGAGAGCCAGACAGACCAACAGCCCTGACCACCCTCCAAGGCCAGCTCTCCGCCTCCTTTTGTCTGCCTGTCCCGCAGCATTAACAGTATGGTTGTAGTCTCCTAATTGCTCTGGACCCTGCAGAGAGGAGAACCCATACACTGGGAAATGGGGGGCTGGGTCCTCAGCTAGCATACGGCCTTTTTTTCTTCTGTCTTTCTCCCTCCTGCTGCTCTATTTCACTCCTTATTCTTCTCTTCCCTTCTAATCCATCCTGCGTTTAAGGCGGGTCTCTTCATTAGGCTTAGAATCCCATGAAACTCCTTTTTTACAGGGGTTCCTGGTCTATTTACACCTGGCTCTGACAGCCATGACAGAATCCGACGATTTCCCAGGCTGATATTTGTCCATCGCCGCTTCTTCTCGAAGATGTTTAAACTGTTCTTTTTCTCTCTTTCTCTCTCCTCTCAGGCACCTCTGCAGCCACCCCCGGGGTCCTCTGCCTCGGCAGTAGCGGCGGCGGCGGCGGCGGCTGCCGCGGCGGCCTCGGGGACGCCCCAGTCCCTGAAGCTGACCTACCCGGAAACCCTGGACCGTATCAAGGAGGAGTTTCAGTTCCTCCAGACCCAGTACCACAGGTGGGTGGGTGGAGGCTGTAAAGGTGGTTTTACAGCATCCTTTGGGGTTTTTTCCTGTCTCCAGAAAAAGCAAAATCATGTATCATACAGCAAGAACCACAGGTGAATCTTGCTGTTATTAAGCGTTAGCAAGTAGGTCAGCAAAAATGTTGAAACGGGTTGTTTTAGTCAGAGACCTGTATTTTCTGAATTTAAGGAAAGAGCTGGCCCTGGTGGGGTATTTGGAGTGTCCACACCAAATACAGTTGGTACAACACTAGAAAAATCACCCCTGTCACTTTTAAATCATTAAATGTTTCACGCTGATCCAAAGTTTAAAATATAATTTACGGTTCTGGGAAAAAAAATCAGTTCAACTATAAGTCCGATTGGATGTAAAACTGCTCTGATGCAAATATAATCTATTTCCATCTATAATCCACAGTTTCCAGTGTGGTATGTTATTGTTTTCTATATATCGCATTTCGATTCAAAACTAGCCAGTTTGTTTCAGTTTGGAAAACAAAAAACAAAAAAATCACCTCAATAATATAAGGTCACTGGAGCTGAATCTTGCTATTACTACTAGTGTTGCAAAGTAGTTTTAGCATAAATGTGATTTAGTAATGCAGCACATCTTTAGACAAGTTTTAGACAAGTGTTATCCGGTTGAATTCTCCTATCCGATATCTTATTTTGTCACGGAATATCTGCTTTTGGTTTGTGCGTCCTACACTTCTTTCACGACTGTACTCGGTGTGGAGGAATGCGCCCGGAGTGGCTTTTGAATTCTGGCCCACAATGCGCTCCCGGCTTTCCCCGTTGCTCCGTTTCCTTGGCGCACCTTCACAGGCTCCTTCCCGCTTTGATTTGGCGGGCCACAGTCTCCCCTCAGCACCTCTCTGGTCATGCTAACCCCTGCTCACAGAAATCCCCATGTGGGTTTTTACGTATTCTCTTTGCTCTGCTTTAAAGTCCGAGCCCTTTAATGACCCCAAAACCAGAACTATACACTAATAAAGACACTTCTGTACTTAAGATTCAGTGGGCGATATCACTGCAAAGCCCAAAATCTATGTAACGACATGCACGTGGACAACATGGCCGTGTTGTTGTGAGGCTTAAATCAGTTGTGAAGATTGTGTAAATCTTTCAGACTCTTGGCAACCCTATGAGAACATGGTCAAAACTTTATTTCGGGATCATAAATGATTTAGGACCAAGGTTTGTTGCCCGTGTTGTTCTCATCCAGTACCTGCAAAGTGCCGAAAGCCTGTTACTCGACACGTCTTTTCTGCAGTACGTTTTTATAAAAATGCACTGAAATGAACTCTAAATAATGGATCTTGATTATACACTGTCGAGTACAAAGTTGCCTAAGATTTTCCCCCTTGTGATCAGATTTTTAAATGTTGTTAAACCAACCTTTTAGGCGCGAGTCTTCCAACCATCACTTACGGTTGGGACAATGTAATCAACATCACTGGCAGCAGTTTAAAATTACACCCTGTGTTACAAAACACTCAGCGCGCCTCCCTCTTGCCAGGCAATACAGCTTAGAAGCCGTGAGCGGGATCTGTAAAAGGGGAATCATGAGATTAAGACATTAAAGGAGAAGAGGAGTCGCGTGATTGGGTCTGCATTTTCCCAAATTGGTCACCACCGTTTTAGAAGGTTCAGGTTCCAGGAAAGGGTTGTTTAACTCTCCTTTTGGCTCCCGGAAGAGAGTCCATAAGCTGAGTGTCCATAAGACGTCCAGGACATCTTATGGACACTCGGCTATCATCAGCAATTAGGACAGCTTTTATCTGAGGTCTTTTAATTGATTTATTAGGTTTTCTGACAGGTGGGTATGAGCCTGTCCATTTTTTAAAGAAACGGAGGACATTTTCTGGTACAACACAGCCTTTTATGTTTCTGGCTATCACCATGTAGCCCAGCCATGCATGTCGAGTCCTCTTGGGCTACATGCTATTTAGAAGTCATAAATCCACCATTATGCAGGAAATAATATCAGCTATCCTCTAACATGGCAAGCGAATGAACCCGCTCGGCTCTTCCCACAATGGGAAGCTCTGGGTGCCAATTTGCTGACCGACCACAACAATAAAGAGGTTAGTTTATAGGCTTGGCAGCCGTTTTTTTTTTTTGGGTTGGAGCGGGATTAGCAGTGGCCTTGTTTAGTCCAACAGGTTGGAGCTCGGAGCCTCATCTCTGATTACAGCTCGCACCTTTTATGCAATCAGAGCTACCGGCACACTCTTCATCCCCGAGGGGAAAAAAATATGACCCGAATGCGATTCAGACGCACTCCCAATCTGATTCATTTGCTTAAAGCACCGACACAATCACGGGGGCCCTCTCCAATTATCCGCACGCACAAATAGATTGGGTCCAGGAATAGCGAGGCTTAGCGGTGTTATTTTGGCTGCAGGGGGAAGCTGGACGGATTCTGATACATGTCCAGTTAGACGCCGCGAAAGAGACAGCGGGAGGGGTGTGGGACTGTTGAGCTGCTACCGTACTTTGTGTAGGGTTAGGGTTAGCAGGTGTGTGTGTGTGTGTATGGGATAGCTTTGGTCAGCATCATATGTGTGGTTGGTATAATGGGACGTTTCGAAAAATGTCTAACCAGCCTAAAGAAAGAGAAGAGTTAATTAATGAAAGGGTCATTGCTTGGGCATCGGCTCTGGTGTGTGTGTGTGTGCGAGTATGTGTGTGTGTGTGTGCGCACGCGTGTGTTTTAACTATCCAAACAAGCTGTAATCAGCAGGCTGCAGAGAGACAGGAGGAGCTGCTGACAGAGCTCTCATTACTGTAATTTTCTTTGCAAACACACACACAGTGGTGACTGCAGACATGCTTGCATTGCCCTGTGTGTGTGTGCGTGTGTGTGTGTGTGTGTGTGTGTGTGTGTGTGTGTGGTCTGTAAATTCAGATAGACTCTCCACTTACCACTAATATGCTGCCACTTATCAGTAAAGAGCCCCTCAACTCATCTCTGCCCAAATACTACATGGCGGTCGTCAGCACTGACACATATACGCCGTGTTTGTAATTTTATGAAATATTTAGCCGTCACCAGATCTTTTGAAAGTCATTAGTCAATTATTAAATGTCTTTTTTTATGTTTGAAAGAAATCTCAATCTAAAATGCATGAAATGATATGTGGCAAAGGGTCAATAATGTAACATTGCACCTTGCATTATGTTTTATTTTCTTAGATTATTGGTAGTTAATAGATAATGATATAGATATTGATGATAATAATAATAGATGGTTAACAGATATTCTCTCACTATAGGTAATTCTTAGGTTTTTTTGCTTTCTTTATGGGTTGATTTGCTTGTTGGTTGCTAAAACTGCTCTCTGTTAACTCTTTGTGTTTGTAAAACATTTATGAAAAACCAGCATTTACTGGAAGTTTATTGTCAGAGAGGGTTACAGTTATCCTGCTTTAGTGTGTGTCTGTGTGTGTGGGTGTGTGTGTGTATGTTTGTTCTTGTGCTCACCCTTGAGAGATGATGAAAGAGTACACAGGCATGTTGGGTGGGTCCCTGTTGTGATAGTGGCTGTTTGAAGGCAGACTCTGGGAGAGGCTGGGAGGTATTGCAGCTGAGCAGAGGAGAGGCTGATCAATAGTTAATGAGATGTAAAGTGAACAGTCGTATACCTCCAGGCCGCCCGGCTAAACGGGCGTGACACTGTAAAGGCACGGCCCGCCTCAGAGCGGGCTTCTTCCTCTCTGTTGACTGTAAAACGTTTTGTCACTTCAGTCTGACTTTCATTAGTCGGGATTCTGCGTAGACTCATTGTCAATGTGTGTATTTAGAAATTTTCGCTAAGTCGTAAATTTGTGGCCAGCTTTTTGTTATTTAACATCAGCTGACACAGAAACTAGACTCTTGGTATCTTACTTAATGAGCTTAGCTTTTATCTATCTATCTATCTATCTATCTATCTATCTATCTATCTATCTAT